GAGATGCAATTGCTTCTGATCCGATGTAGTTTTACGGTACGCAGAAAATATCTTTTTGCGCAATACTAACAAATGGTAGCAAGTTAAATGAAGATTTTTAGAGAGACTTATATAGAGTATCCTTTGCTTTCTTATCTACGGTAGCGTTCTGTACCGCATCCAGTGACGTGGAAAATTAAAAGTGCCTCAACAGTTCGTAAGGTTCTACAGTAAAAAGGAATGTGAAGTGAATAGCGTGTGGATTAACAATGTTGGAAAAGTCCGCATGCAGCTGAGATATGGATGAAGTGTTGGTTTCTAGGGATCCCTCCTTCTAGGTTTCAAGACTCATAGTTCTATACTATCAGACTAACGAATCAACTGTTGCACCTTAATTATAGGTAAGTTTTGATGCAATCCTCTCCAAAATAAAACTAAAAATTTTCAAATATATATACATATCATGAATTAAGAAAATGAAACTGCATCAGTATTTCTCAAAATGTGTTTTATTTCCGAAAAAGTTTTACATCATCCTTAAAACGAATTTATTTTCGTGCTAACCTTCAACTGTAAATTCCATGAATTTCTTCAGAAACGTAAATATTTTTCGAACCTTATGACGCAGTGTGTTTTAAGTCAAAAAAAAAAATCAAGAGTCGACGGTCATAAGGATCTTCAAAAAAATCTGTTTCATTAGAGTAAAATGGATGACGTGAATGACGTGCTGCTACGAAAGTTTTGCCTTAGCTAACGCTGAGAACATTGTATTTAGATAGTTGGAATTTTGAAATAAGAACGCATGTTGAAATTTCACAGATTCAGTAATTCTGTAGAACGGAATACATACAGTGTTTCAAGGTTTAGCTGCTAGTTGTGCTATGTGATGATTGTTACAGAAGAATCTTTGGCTGATCTATATTGATAATTCTATGAAGTAGCGATATATCTGTTTTAAAGTGGTCAAAACTTAGGTCGAGAAGTTTCGAAAACTAGACCACACAAGTAAGTGTTGACCAAAGTTTTCAATTTTTTAGCAAGGCGCTTTGAATGAGGCTACCTGCAATCTCAATTTTCTATTAAGTTTTTCCACTTTTTATTTATCGTTCCCAGTGTCTCATCACGAGTTCTCCTTTTTAGGCAATGTGCATTCCAACCTTCCTTTTTCAGTTCTCATAGCATTCATGAACGAAAGGAAAAACTGGAAGGCAATAAATTTGCGAAACGAACTTTATCAACCTAATGTTTTTGGAAGGCGTGAAGGTAGAGTTCAATAAATCAAGTCATTGCAATTCGTTTTGAGCTCGCAGCAAAACGTCATAACCCTTCATGCGTTTGAATTTATGACCATCATTAGTCTTTCGCGAAACCCCCCAAATTTGTAATTATACCGATAAATAGCTGTTGACTGCATTCTTCCAAAAGAGGTGAAGATTCCAGGTCACGGTTATTACCTAATAATGTTAAAGCAATTGAGAATGACCTACGTAAACGGAACCAAGGTTCCAAAAGAGTAGTACTTGAATATCTGAGCCTTCACTAATAAAAAAAATCTTGTTCCTGCGACAAGAATACGTGTTTTTGAGAATAGCCGACATAGCTCTAAATCATTTTCTGTTTTTTCAAGGTGTCACCTATTAAGTGATATGTTGCGTAAGATTTCGATGTCTTTTTCGATTTTTGGAGCGACCTTGTCACAAAAAGCATGGTCTAAACTTTGTATTATGTTGCATTCCTCTCTATGAGATGGGGGAACAAAATCTGATGGAAAAACCTAACGAATTTCATGAGTCTTTTGTCTAATTGAAAGGACAGAGTGAACTTAAGGATATTCAAGTTTGCAAGATAGTTAGTTATAGTTTTTTTATCTTCTCAAATTCAATTAAGATATTCACATTACGCACGAAAAGTGATGGAAGTAAGTTTAATCTTAAGATTAGATATCCAGAAATAATTTATTTTTGTGTCCCTTATGCGCACTTTAAGAGAATGGAAAGCAAAAAGAATAACTCATTATTTTGCAAGAGATTACTGATCAGAAATCCTAACCCAGAAATCCTAACCTGTTATGTTCTCTCGCGAAAAGGATATGCAGACTACTGAGTCCAATAAAGAGGTTGGCTCGAATATCTCCGGCGGTGAACGAAGCTGTGCATTTGTCCTTGTGAGGGCATTTTGACTGATCAAAGGGGAGAACAACCTAAAACTACCACTGTTGGCTCACAAGTATATTTGCTTGAAAGAACATACTTGGTTGTTAAACCGATTCATCTTCAGGAATCCAGTTCTGCCTTCCCTGAACTTGAGCAAATCTGTCGGAGATGATCCATAGATCATCGATCCATCAATGTAAGCGGTGTTCTCATTGAGCTGTTCTCGTGGAGTGACATGGCAAATGGGCGCTGATCGAGACACTTTCAAGCATTGCTTCATCTTGAAACTGCAAATGCAACTATTCTCCCTTCTTCTCCCTGTTTGATGGATAAATTAAGCTTGAAATCGCCTGTTAAT